TATTTCGGGGTTTGAGTGGTATGTGATTTCGTTCAGTGAACGATATTTTACCATGTACTACAAAGCTCAGTAGAAATAGAAATCCATATATACTTATGTTTTTTTTTAAATAAAATGAAAAGAATAATTAATTGCCTTTCCCCGGCAACGGCGCCAAATTTGACGTGCACTTTGTCGTGAGTGCACTCAAAATAATATTCAATACTAACACTTATACGTAGTATAGGTGAAGTAGAGTTCGTATCCACAGGGAAAGGAATAATTTATCTTTTTAACGAAAGGAGTAAATAAAGGGGGGTTTTGGGTTGAATGATTTAATTAAATTAAACACAAAGATGAACGATTTATATGGGATTTAATTCAAAGATAAAAGGGACTTGGTCTTGCTACTTTCCACTTGATGATATATTTTAGTCGATCATTGTTATATCCATAACTTATCCCCTCTCGAATACTCAATCGCGGAGTATAACCAGTTCATCGAGGGTAGTTATTAACAACGACCGTTCATTAATAACCCTTACTATTAATCAAATATAGAACAACGCCGTATACCGATATAATAGTAGCATTTAATCTTTTTAACTCCTTGATGAAATCAATTGAGATTGATAACCTCAACGCAACGGTTTTGGTTTAACCAACAAAATTGATCCCTCTTAAGTTTATTAACCACGACCGTGCATTAACAAACCGAAGTTACTTACTTGTGAAACCTTCAATGTTTAACCATCGGTTCATTGAACGTTTCTAGTAATAATCAATGTTGGAGCGTTAACTAATCGTCACTTAGCCACCCTCCAACAATGATATAGAATGAGATTAAGGGAAGAATTAATAATCAAGAGGAGAAAGTAAGAAAATAACTCACAACTTTAATAATCAATCAAGCTTCAAGAGCAAAACCAAGAAATGGAAGTTTAGCTCCTCATTTGGAGACTAAACATGCTAAAAGAAATATAGAGAAATGCTATTCTAAACTGAGCTTAAGAGTATATAGGAATTGGTGTCTAAAAGTGAAGGAAAGGGGGTGTATTTATAGGCTTTTTGAGGTGCAGGATCGAGTACTCGATCGAGTATGTATACATACTCGATCGAGTATGTATAGAAATCAGAATTTGGTCAATACTCGATCAATACTCGAGTAGATTTTATATGCATACTCGATCGAGTAAATAAGCATACCCGATCGAGTATAGACACTCGAACGTGGGAAAATCTTCTCCTGCATGTTCCTTTGTTTTCGGATCCGATCCGATTTGAAATGTCAACCAGATACCCGATCGAGTATATGTATATACTCGATCGAGTATAGACCAAAATCAGGATTTTTTCTTCTTTTTGTCTTGTACTCTTGCACCTTCCTTCACCATTGATCATTTGATTGATCTTGGACCTGTTTAAGCTCAGAATAAACCTAATCTAAACAAATTACAAGAATTTAACAAACTAAACTATTACACCGAAAGTGTGTAATTTCCGAAATATTAAACAATCAAAACTAACTAAAAGCGTAAATAAACATACGGAAATTACAAACGTATCAGTAATCGCTCCTCCGATTACAGAGGCGAATAACTGAAAGTCGTTACGGGAGCAGTCCGCCTAGCGACTATACGGCGCCTAGGCGGCCGATTACCGATATTTAGAACCACGAGAACCACAAATTAGTTTATTTAATAGCAAAGTAACAAAGTTTTTTGGAACAACCAAAAAGGGAAAGTTGGCAAAGCCCAATGGGGCGGGGGAGTATGTTTTTTTTTTATTTTATTCAAACTAAGTATCAATCTTTATTCGAAAAGATCAAAAATTCTGCAGCGGAATATTCAAAAGGAAATAACGGGCATTACCACCACACTCGATTCTCACATATCGGAGTGCACATGCTAACCAATAACCACCACTGATACAACTTCATAAATCTGAATAAAATGAATTTTCCATTTCTCGATCAACTTTAGTCTACGTGTTCTAGCGGAAGCTCTCAAAATCGTCACCAAGTCTCCACCTCGATTTTGCAATAAATCCTATTTGAAGTGTTTATCTCGATCTCCGGAATGGCCTTATGTAGAGATCGTCTTCATTGGCGGAACAATGAGCAGGGACGTATGATGCTTGCAACAACTTCCATGACCAACAACAACCATCCGTAACTCTGGTGATCGGCGAAGTAGTCCTGGCATACATGCCTTCGTCTCCTCTGACGAGAAAGCAGTCCCACAGTCCGGAAAACAATTGGGTATCTTCTCTCACAAATACTAAAAGTCTGGAGAGTATTTGAGTAACTACCTTAGGTCATGCAGGGCGGGGGTGTTACAAATGTGGTGGTGACATGGGTGACATGACTATGTCTATGTGTAGCTTCCAACGGCTGGAGTGTAGCTTCTAACTGCTAGAATGACCAAGTCCACAATTCTATTATGAGGTCCCAATGCAAGCTCATTGAGTGAGGTCGAGCTTGGATGTATCATACTTTTTTGTGGGAGGGTGACCTCAGTTTGTTGTGTGGGTTGATGACGCTTCTTTCGCTCATTTGGTTCTGTACGGTGACCGACTGACTGTTGACCTAGAGGTTGGATACAAAGACATTTTGACCACGACGTCGGCCAAGATCGACCTCGGCCTCAGATGCAGTTTTGGCCTTATTTCGATAATCTAGGAGTCAATGTGCGACTGACATCGACCGAGATCGACCTCAACCTCAATAGGAGAATGACTTGATGGATTCTGGAGATCTTTTATCCGTGAGTGTTGATACTCCTAGGGTATAGAGGGGATATACTCCAGAACTAAATTGAAATCAACACATTTAATGTGCACAATTTATTATGAATGTAAAGAAAGTAGTTATTTAAATGTAAACAATTCAACATGTTGTACTACCTCTCTTTTTTCCTATTATAGTTTTGTCATTCGTGATTTTCTTGATCAAATGTTTCAAACTTTGACTTATTTTTTTTTTATCAATATATGTTGTGAAAATGGCAACTTTTATACAGTATTTGAGTAGTTTAAAAACATATCATTTTCACATTATAAATTATTTTGTATAAGAATTGGATATGTAATTTGTCAAAGTTTAACCCGTGAAAATAATTACATATTTATGACCATTGTTCTAAAAATCGCTTTAAGCGCCTGCGCGACTTGTCCTCGCCTAGGCGCTAGGCGGTGTCCGAGCACCCCGACTTTTGTCTAGGCGCTCCGACTAATTGGTTTGAGGCCTAGGTGAATTAATCTTCTGCCTAGAGCGCCTAATTGCCCGCCCTGAGCGCCTAATCATCATCGCTTAGAACATCTAGATTCGCCGAACAATTTTATCTTTTTAATTTTATTTTTCCGAGAGATGTATGTAACTTTAACTTTAATCACGGATATGAAAAAAAGTACTTTTAAATTAAGATAAAACTATATACTTCATATGTTTGTGTATATACTTATATTTTATACTCCGTTTAGTATTTATTTAAATGTGATTATTACATAATGCAATTTAGTGATTAGTTATCAAATATTATTAAATGTTATAATTCTACCATTCATGCATGTTAATGTGTGTGTGTATTTTTTCATATAGACACTAACAAAATATTGTCGTTTTACTACGTTTCCTTATCATATTTATGCAAAAATATTGATAACATACAACGTATGCATCTCCGATTAGTCCCTGCCTAGGCATCCGCCTAGCCGCTTAGGCGCTAGGTTGGGCTCGACTGATGCCTTTTAGAACATTGCTTATGACTAAAATAAAGGGTGTTTACAAAAATGTGAGTAGTGACTAGAGTACTAATGAAATCACAGTAACTTATGATGTTCAATTTTTAAACTTAAATTATCATGAGACTACATTATAATAACTATTAGTCCATATTTGTGTAAATGAGATTTATTTTAGTGATATTTTTGAAGAAAACTCTTGACATAACTAACCAAAAAAGTCAAATATAATATTATTTGCTCCATTTAAAGACTAAAATAATTAAGAATACATATTTTAACTAAAATATGGTGGCCCTAGGCACTTGCCTTGGGCAACTTCCATCAGTGTCAATGATCACGGGCTGACCGAAGAAGAAACGGGAAGAAAAAAGAGGAGTACAACTTTTTAAATAAATTATACGCTGTATTTCGTATCATTTTAAGGTGAGAATAACATGTTGAACGTGTACCGATCCCACCGTATAATTTGCACTCTACGACTTCACATGTGTATAAATGTATAATATATCCATCTTACAAAAGTTTCGTCTAGTTTGATCTTTTAGTCAAAGCATTTGAACTTTGGCTAATGTGTTTAATTGCTACGTTTACAAGAAAAGGAATTATTAGTCCAACTTTAATACCTTTGATCAAGAAAGTCAAGTTTAATCAAGCATGAACTGATGAAAGATGAAAACCCATCGAGCAGGCTAGCACTCTCACATTTTGCTTGTTTCACCTTGTCAAATCTCAATTCTCAAACAACTCGGTTCAAATCCGGAGATAAATATCAAATATTGCTTGGTGGATTTCAATTAATGGATTTTTTTATATATATTTTGATGCTTCGGTGACCGCTAGTCATTTTCAAATCTCCTTCTTCTATGACTCTATGTTATTGGAGTGTTTTGCATCTAAACGGTAAACCCTAAGAGAGGGCTAGCAAATACTCTTATACGTTTAAAATTTCTACAGATTTTAAATAACAAACAAGAGTCCATCAGTTGAGCCTTGTATAGTCATACACTCATACTTGATAAATCACTATGCCACCCTCAAACAAGGAGGTTCATTTAACCACTCAAAGCCATTACCAGGAAAAATGTGGAATCAAAACATATTCCAATCCTTTGCAAAACAGTGATATTTCAACAATAGAAAATGTGCATTTCAATCATTTTGATATCATTTTCAAAACAAAGTATGGATGTTTAAAGTACTACTAATTGCACAACTTCAAGTAGCTTCACCACATCCATACAGTACAAAGTAAAATTAGCAGAAACTCCTGATAGCACCAAATATCAGGTAGAAGTACAGTGATCCCCATTGTTGCAAAAAACAAAACAGGTTCTGGCAACTAGAATGAAGAAAACAGCTTTGGAATACCAAGAACAGCTTTGAAATACAAAGAAGGAAACAGTTTTGAAAACTAAATCATGTCAGTATCACCCCTAGTTCAATTGCATTTTTATACTGCATATGCCTCCACAAAGTCCTGAAAATGCTTAGTACAATAAAAACATATTAAAAATAATAGTAACCCAAAAAAATGCAAAATTGTCAACCATTTCTTAAGCAACTCTGTAAGCACATGTATATAGAGCCCATTTGATAACACTGTTTTTTCGGCTTATCAGACAACTTTTTCACCAAACACGAAACTTTTGATTTCGCGCGCTGAATTGTGTAGTAATAAGAAAAAGTAAGGATAAAGTTACTTTTCTGCCTATATTGACTAAGGTTACCGTAGATGATCATTTTAACTATTTTTCATATAACTTTTTTTTTATTTTATTAGTAAAAATACTTTAAATATAATTTTTTCATAAATTAGCAGGATCAGCCAATCCAGCCACTTCAGCCGGAATTTCATAAATTTCAGCAGAATCAACAAATTTAACCAATTTCAGTGTTGTCAAACGGACTCTTAAGCTTAATGGTATGATGTCTTAAGTAACCAAATATGATATCACTAAAATGAATGTAGTATTGATACCACAGGATGGACTGTCTGAGATTAAAAGTGCTTATCACAAGAAAGTGCTATCTAGAGACATGATGAACTAACGTACCGTATTGCGATATTTCACATTTTTTTCTCTGAATATCTCATTGTGTTTACGCCTGATCTATAGGAAAATATAAGAAGTCTAAAATAACACACGGATCAAAGTACTACAGACCAAAGGCCTTGGTTTAATATTTTTAATTTCCAGAAAAAGATACGGGGTAAAATGATCATCCACAAACACACACAAATTAAAGATACATCAAGGATAAGAAAAAAATAGATGTCAACGTAAGGCACTGCGATTCAACAAGTTTGTGTTGTTGGATAAAAGTACCCTGAAGAATTATTCTGAAGCATTTAAGCAGAATAAGAAAGAAACAAATTATGTGGCAAAGGTAATCATTCATTTCAAAGGCATAAATTCTTATTAAACTGCATGAGATAGGATAACACATCCACAACTTCTGTGATCATTAATACTACCACTGTCCACCATAGCATTACAAGACGTAGACTTGAAGTTGGACACCATTTTCCCATACAAATTTATGTTGGAAAAATTTCCGGGATATGACTAAAACAAAGTGAGTTTCTCAAAATGTGAGTAGTTATGTTTTTTTCCCAAAGTATGAGTGAAAATATATATAAAAAAGAAATTTTCGTTATATTAAATTTTAGGACGGAAATACCTTTTTTCTTAAAAAATGCATTTTACACTACTTACGTCCGGGTAAAAATAATGCACTTTATGAAAGAGTCATTGCACAACATTTATTGCACTTTTATGTTGTGTTCACGACACAAGATTTAATGCATTTCATGCAATTAAGTTATGACACTTCAGTTTATGGGTTTTTGTAGTTTTGATGACTTTAGTTTTTTACGTTTAATTAAATATAATGCACTTCATGCGAGAGTTATTGCACAACTTTAAAAAATTGTAAGGATTTCATATACTTTTTCATTTTAAATTTGATAATCGCACTTTATGTCAATGTTAATGCGTTAATTATTGATTTATTGCATTTCTAATCATAATCACATTATACATGGTCATATCATTGCACTTCTTGTACCAATCATTGCACTTCTTGTGATATTCACGGAATTCAATACAAATTATTCATTGCACACGATCTTCAATCGTCTTCAACCTTGGGTTCGCCTTCAACCTCGACCACCTTCGTTGAAGAATCTGAGTTTTTGGAGCGGCAGTCCAACGCCATTCTTTGAGAACATTAATTCTCAACCCCAATTTCAAGAAATACAAAAAGAAAAAAGGAGAAGGGGAAGAAGGCAACCATGCGACGGGTCTGCGGTTGGTGAGCGGCGGCGAGCGATGGTTGTGCGGCCACCGGCTAGATGGCGGACAATACATGGACGTCGTGCAGCGCCTTGGAGCCCAGGTCGAGCGGACGATTGCATTAGCTATCGACGATTTACACCGAGATCGCAGTTTTGTCCAAGGCGGCGGCGTTAGACGGTGGGTGGCGGCGCTGGACTGTGGGCAGAGACTAGGCAGCGAGCGGCAGTTGGGCGGAGAGGCGGCTGCGTGAGTGAGCGTTGGAGGTTGTATCTAGGGTTGTAGAATATGAATAGGAGGTTAGGGTTTTATAGGGATAAGCTAAAGGGTGTTTTTGTCCATAAAAATTATTTATTAATTATTAATTACGAATTTTAATTAATTGTTATGAAATGTAATATTATTTTGGGAAAAAAACTAGTTAGGTCCTAGATTGGGAAAGTGAGAGAGTTTTAGTTATATGGGGGATAATTATATCATTTATGTTTGAACACCATGTTCGAAACCATATTAATTTTTGCACCTCAAAATACAATAGAGCTGCTAAAATAGGGCGGCAGGGCACAATCTCCGAATACGAAGAAAAAGTGGGAGGTAAATTTTAGTTTTTAAGGTGTCAATATAAATGATTCTAAAGGCAGAGGGCAAACCCAACTTTCAATGAAAAATTGGGGTACAGGCTACAATTTTATTCTAAATTTTGTAAAAATTAGCATTCCATTATTAATTTTTTCTAAGTAAATGCTATATGACATTAAAATATATAAGAAGCATATGATGTAATGATGTTAACTTTATGGTGATAAAAATGGTACAACAACAACAACATCCAAGCCTTAGTCCCAAAAGAAATTGGGGTCGGCTAACATGAAACGATACATGATATCACCAAAAGGAAAAGAAAGAAAATAAAGATACAAAAGATAAGCTATTATAAAAAGAATATAAAAGAGATGAATATACATATAAAAGATAAAATAAAAATGATAAAATAATATTTATATATAAGGATAAAAGAATAAAAAAAAATAAGGAAAAAAGGAGGGGAAAATAGTGATAAAATGGTATTTTGTATTATTACTTAGTACGTAGCAACTTTTCTAAAAAAAGAGTACCATTGGAACAAGGGGAGATTGTTAACACTTGCCTAGATCTCTTGTCCATCACCTGCATTATCCTCCCCCATGTGCCTGGTAACTGACAAAAATAAGAAGAAGTGATGCACTAAAGTCAGATTGCATTTCTATTATGTTGGCTTGACAAGGCTTGGATTTCAGCAAACAAGGAAATCTAAATGACAATATTTCGCACCTGCAATAGCCTGAAGCAAATGCACATCTGCAACAGCATCTTTGTGTCCGAGCAACACAAGGCTTTCCACATACTTAGCTACATACTCAAATGTATCATCACCATATTCCCCGTACACAAAAAAAGGCTCATGATTCATGAATGAAAACCATTGGTGTGCACCTGCAGAAACTCCTGGATTCTTCCAAGTGTCTAATGCAACTACTAAGGGTAACCTTTCAATATAATCTCGAATATCAATGACATATAGCCTAGTCCAAGAGTCAACATTTCCATAATCTTGCATCACCCAAATGTCATAAGAACCTGGAGCATAATCTATTATACCTAGTGATTCCCCAACCACAGCAATATATGATGTTCCTGGCAAGTCAAACCCTTTTAATCTATTTGGGAGTGGTACGTCTCTAAATAGCTCTTCATTTATGTCAAATGAAGTGACTGAACAAATATCACGAGTATCGCACATTTCGTCTTCATATTCAGATCCAATCCAATACTCGTGGTACTCACATCCAATCCAGTGCATCTTACCGCCCACAAAAGCCTGACCATTAAGCAACCACCTCGTAGGAAACAAATCATGACCGTATCTTCTAATCCTCCATTTTCCCGAATTGAGAGAGTAGATTTCAACAGACATAGCACTATCCTCATGCTTTTCATGGACCCACACAACCCTATAATCACCGTCGCTGGCAACACAAAATCCAATTGCATTACCACCTTTCCTTGGAGTGTGAAAGGAGGGAGGTGGTAACAACACATGTCTCCTAATAGAAGGATTCCATAATATAATTGACGGGTAAGAATCTCGATGGGTAAAGGTTAAGCAAAAGATTCCATCAAAGCTGCCCACGATTTCGATCCCCTCCACAATGCAATGATGTAAGGATACTGAGAACTTATTTTGGAATAGCAGATCAGGTTTGATGATTGGTCCGAATTGTACCGTGAGATCACAGTCGACTTTGTCCCCATGTTTGATTAGAGCGAAAAGGCCGTTGCTATTGGTTGTAGTTGCAAAGAAGAACTGTTTGGTGGCTGCTTCGGACAGGTGGGCAGAGACGAATTCATAACTGGTGAGATATGAGAGCCATGGTTTACTAACAGCACTTAAACAAATCAGAGATTTTGTTGGTAATCTCGTCAGGATTTCAATTTTGAGTTCATTGGGCAAGGATTGCAGGGATGGCGGCATTTCGATTGAAAAACCTACTCCGATTCTGCCGAGGTTTAGAATGGTGTCTCCTGCTATTTCATTTCACTCTCGCCCCTCCCAATTAGACGCAGCATCTCACTGATCAAAATTAGGGCAGGCATATTGGTTTGCAACTACTTTTAAAAAAAAAACATTCTCAACTTTTGTCTTTAAAAAACATTACACTTATTTTTCCAAATATTACAACTTTTATTTTTCTCGGTTTCCGCGTCAAAAATGTTTTTACTTTTTCTATTACACAAAAAGCACTTATTTTACCAAACATTACCCACTTTTACTTTTCAAAATCACTTTTTTCTCAAACACTATCAACTTTTATTTAATCACTTCTCCCTATTTCATAAAAAAACAGTTTTTTAAAAGCAAACTGTACCCACAATCATCTTGCGGAAAACATGAATAATAAGCAACAAGAAAATAGCAGTTTATTAACTTACACTACTGGGGTGCAGAAGTTTGTACCCACGAAGAGTTTACGATTTTGCCAAGAAGCATAGTGCTTCTGATAAATTCCTCCATAAATATCGCAGAGTTTATGTTTAGAAAATGATTCAAGGAAGCTTAATTATCATACGATCAAAAAAACAACTTCTGGAGTTCTATTATCTTTAACTTCACGAGGTGTTTAGATCTACTTATTAAAACTGATTTTTCTTCTTGAGGTAACAAAATTACAAAAGTAGATAATGAAGTTTTTGTTTTTGGGTAAAAGTGAGGAAGTATTTTTGAGTTTCCAAAATGCTTTTTGAAGTATTTTTTAGAAGATGGGAAAAATTTATTCTTATTTCTATTTCTATTAAATTGCTTTTAAAAAGATGAAGAAATATAATCAATTCCAAACACCTATGTTTAAAAAAACGGACTGGGAAGCGATCCGGCCACATGATTGGGTCACGGGTCAACATGGACCCGGTGGGTCAACCCAGTCAACGTCGGAAAACCGGTCAACGATTATAAATCTGTATAATAATAACAATAAACATATAATCATATATATAATTATAATAAAAAGTAGCTATTTATTCATAATGATAAACTAACGATACTACTTATTAAGCATTTATTACACTCTCATAATATTTCAAAGTATAAACATATAATTATATACAAAATTATAATAAAAAGTAGCTATTTACACTCTCATTATATTTTTTTCAAAAATATATATTGATATTTTTATTTGTATTGTACATTTATATTATAATTTGCCTATATTTTCATTCTTAAATAAATATAAAAATATACGTAGTATTACATAGTTTTTCTTTTTAGGGTATTGAAATGGGCAAAATGCAACTTTATTGATTTAAAAAATACAATAAAATTAAAAATGATTTTTTTAAAAAAAACACCCCAAAACGGGTTTTCCCGTTTTTTTCCGGGTTTCCTAGGTCCGGACCGGGTTTTCCCGGGTCAGCCAGGTTTTTTCGGTTTTTGACAATTTCCGAGAACAAATCGAACCGGGTTTTTGTTCGGGTCGCTGGGTTCCAGGTCAACCCGGCCGGATCGGGTCGGTTTTTTAAACAGCCAAACATGCACCACATATATATGCGCAAGGATGGATTCAAGGGAGTGGGGACAACCGTGCCTATGGATTCCCAAGTTTTCTATTATATACTATATGTAATATTTTTATAAAATATTTATATTATAATTAGATATACATGTGTTCGCTCTCCTTAATTTTCATTTTTCAAAATTAAGATCTTGTATGGCGATCCTGTTTTTCGGCATATCAGACCTATCAACCAATTTTTTCACTAAATACGTAACTTTTGATTTCGCCCGATAAATCGGGTAATAATAAGAAAATGTAATTTTGAAGTTACTCTTCTGAATGTATTGACCGTAGTTAATGTAGAAGATGCTTTTAACTGTTTTTTCATATATTTTTTATTTTATTAATAAAATATATTTTAAATATAATTGTTTTCATAAATCCGCAGAATGAGTCAATCATGTCACTTCAGCCGGAACTACATAAAGTTCAGCATAATCGACCAATACTACCGATTTGGATGTTACCAAACGGGTTCTAAAATAGTCCACATAATATTAATACTTAATCGGTCTTTTTTAAAAAAAAATACAAAAATAAAATTTATTTATAAAAATATAACTAATAGTTACTATAATGTAGTGTCATGGTAACTTAAGCTTATAAAATGAACATAAGTTACTATAACTTCATTACTACTCTAGTCACTATTCATATTTTTGTAAACAATATTTATGTTAGGATGTTTTTACTTGGACTGTAATTTGTTGGTCTGGTCTGGTCTGAACTGGTCTGGTTTCTTTGTATTTTTATAACTATCCAAGTTTGGTCTGGTCTGATCTGGTCTGGTGTGGTGTGGTCTGGGACAGATTACAGTCCAAGTAAAAACATCCTTAGTCATAAATATGTAATTATTTCAAAGAAAACATCTAAAATATATTACTTTGTATCATTACTTAAACAAATAAACAATTGAACAGTTTAAGATTTAAGATACTTATTATATAAAAGTTTCTAGTTTTGTAATGTTTCATTATCTTTGGTCCCTTTTTATCAATATCACTAAAATGAATAGAAAATCAACAATATGATCTATTTTAAAATTTTCAAAAAAAGTGACTAAGAGTCATTTACTCCTTATATTTAACATTACATTTATTATTATAATGTTCCTTTTATATATTTGACTAGTAGTCCATGTTTTGTAGCCACAGGCACCACCGCCGCCAGTCACTAACCCAATGATTTCCGGCAGGGGCGGAGCCAGAGCACTGGGCCGGTACAAAGACTATTTTTAGAAAGAAAAAATCACACGAAATTTTTTACCTTAAAATTAAGCCATTTGTTAAGTTTGGGGTGGGCCATGACCTAGGTTGACCCACCACTAGCTCCGCCCCATGATTTCCGGTCACTAACCGGTGACTTCCACTTGTGAAATTAGAAAGATTAATTAGCCTGAAATCAGCAAAAGTGGAAACTTTATCTTTTTTGGGAATATAAGAGAGAACTTGTCATTGCCTTGGGAATGTGATTTCGTTAGAAGAAGTCCTGAACAGCTCTGAACAAATACTAGTTTGTTCCATCCGGGCAGGAGCACCCTCTTTATTCAAATCCCATACTGCCTCCTTAACTTCATGCATGTTAGGTGGGGCCAATAACATTTTTTTTCATGATCTTCAACTAATCTTGGCACATAATGTAGAAGATCCTCCAGATCCTCGATTTGTTCTTCAAAAAAAGATATTCTGAAAGTAGTCTTCTGCAGCCTTTCCAATAGTCTCAAGATTTGAACAAATATTCCGAGCAAAATCTATTATAAGAGATAAGTGTTTCATCCTCCTTTTAATATTCACATAATTCAAAATTCAAAATAAAATAAAAAATCGCCAGAGCTCCAAGAAAGGTCAGTTTAGAGTTTAAAAAGAGGGTTCTTAAGACTTTCTATCCTGCACTCATACCATTGAGAATCCTATTCTGTGTGATCACACGTCTTTACTATGATGAGTCGTGTCCCGTTACACAAACCCAATGAGTGATCAATATTACGTAGAAGCATGATTGGATGCCAACTTTCAAAGTTAACTTATGATTTGGCATACAAATGAGTTTAATACTATTTAAGAATTCTAAAGTGTGCAACTCTGCTATAAGATCATGGGTTGAAACATATTTGCAAACACTATCTGAAATTAGGTATGTTCTAGCAACTTCTTTGGAAATCAAGCTTGTCATATAGTCATTGATAGAATCAACAACATCGAGGTTAGAGCAAGAATAGCTCTATCTCTCAAGTAACTCAAATCTGTACTTTATTTAGATACAACAACAACAACATTCAAGCCGCAGTCCCAAAAGATATTGGGGTCGGCTAACATGAATCGATACATGATATCACCACCAAAAGGAAAAGAAAGAAAATAAAGATAAAAAAGACAAACTATTGTGAAAAAGATAATATAAAAAGAGATGAATATACCTAAACATGATAAAATAAAAAGGATAAAAATAATGTTTATATATATGAGGATAAAAGGATTAAAATAAACCAAGAAAAAATAAACGAGGGGAAAAGATAATAGAAGATCACTCCTCCACACAAATACCAGCCCTCCACTTTGCTCTCTCCAAAGCTATACACTCATCTAACCCAAGAAGAACCATATCACTTCGGACTCTCCTAACCCACGTTTGTTTGGGCCTTCCTCCCCTTCTCTTCCCTGCCTCTTCTCCACACATCTCAACTCGTCTGACAAGTGCATCACTCGGTCTTCTATGCACATGACCAAACCACCACAGGCGCGACTCCCGCATCTTGTCTTCAATAGGTGCTACTCCCACCCTTTGTCTGATTGTCGCATTCCTCACGTGATCCTTCCTAGTATGCCCACACATCCAACGCAGCATGCGCATCTCCGCCACACTCATCTTTTTAATGTGACATTGTACTTGAATTTAGACAATTGGGATAAATGATCTCCACTGTCTTAGTAATTGGATCTCGAGAGTACTTGATAAGGATGTCATCAGGAATTTTAATAGAGACAAAACTGTCGTTTAAGTCCCGACAATACCATCACATATGCTTGCAATCCAAACAACAAAAAACTTCAAGTCCTAAGATCCTCTAGGGCTATTGACATTGCGCATCCTCATGTTCTTAGTTAACCTAAGAACAGTGCATCCCACCCCCCACCCGCACACACACACACAAATAAGATGAATGAATCATAGAATTAACAACGTCTTGCATGCTTCGTTGCAGGATTACAGGTAGCCCTTGTCGAAAGTCTCCTCCCAAAACAATTGTCTTATCGCCAAAGGGCAAGTTTAGATTGTTTGGATTGGTGAATCTAAGAACTTCACACATACTTCTATCCAATGCCTCAAAACAAAATTTGTGTAGCATTGGAATTCATCCCAAATTATCAATTTACACTAAGTAATTAGTATGAAAATCGTCCGCTTGCAATTTTTTTATTCAAAAAATATCTATTAAAACATACACGATGACATTTAAATCTATTACGGAGTACATTTTAAATTAAGACGATGAAAATATAACTTTGATTTTATAATTGAAATGCTGTAGAAAACAATATTGATATAATAAAGCGTAAGAAATGGCGAACATAAGGAAAATTATTTAAAATAAAAAAAGAATATAGAATAGTTTATAAATAACTTTTTCCTTTTTTAATTAACCACATGAATCTTATCGGAATAAAGAATTGATTTTTGAATTGCAAATTTTGTCTATCAAGGATGGTGATTGTGAGTCATGAAGAGTTTTCTTAATACCACGTACAATAGTATGTGTAAGTTTATTGATAGTTAAAATTATATTATATATTCATAAAAATGATGCTTATTATATATCGTTATATATAAGCAAAATCTTTTTGTGACTAGCCTTCCCGCCCAAACATCTTAAGGTAAGAAAGTGCATAGCTAGCTGGAAATGACAAAAAATAGCCCTGTAGAGGGTACATTTGAACAACATTAATTGATGATGGAATTTAAATAGTTGGAAATTGATATTAAATAATGACAATTCAATGAAATAGTTTGTGTTTAACATTTGCAAAAAAAAAAGTAATCTCGTCATTGTACTATTTTGTGATGGAAAAGACATATTCTTCTGATTTTGGTGGCTTTGTTGTATCCTATTTATAAAATAAAACTCGTGTGGTATCATTACAAGGTGTATGCTATTGAAATAAAACCAATGCTGTTAATTACCACATGCATTCATAGACATATATGACCTATTGGTTTGATATTATTACTACTACCGCTAGAGCTGTTCATCTCAGTTTTCCTATAAATAGTCCCCCTTACCCTCACTTTACACCATTCATTCCTTGAATTCACTCATAAATAATCCGTACTACGAAGTATCCTATATGAAATGATTGGCATGTTGTCTTTAATAAACGAGTTCAATCAATCAAAAATTGCTTGGTCTTTAATAACCTAATGAATCTACAAAATTTAATATGTTGAAGTTGGGTGGAATCTACAAATAAATTTTTATGTGATTATGCCTCATCAGCCAGAAATCTGATTACTCCAGAATCAATCTATGTTCTCTTGCGACATTAATTAGAAAGAACTAAGCTATTTTAATCGTACAGTTGCATTTTAATTTTCCAACCAACAATCAAATCTCACACAATTGCTTTTTATTTTATTTATTTTAATCGCTCAATTTAGTTGATTCCTAATTCCATTTTTCTGTCCATGTGGGGATGATAGTCCTACTTACATCTTATATTATTATCATTTTAAAGTGCGAGAAAACTCACATCATGCCTTCAATAATACGGAGTAATTTTTTCGGAACGGTAGTGAGTTAGTTCCTTAATCCTTTTTGTGCAAGGATAAAGATGTTTAATTCATTAGGGGCGGGTATAAGTCTCTAACTGCAATAAATTAAAAATCAGTTCAGAACAAAATAATTTTCTAATTAAATTCCCCATAATACGTAGCAGTAAAATACACATAATAGGCTAAATCTTATGAGAACTAATCTAACCAATTTAGAACAAATCATACTAGATTTAAACAGACCAAATCAAATTAGATCAGATGAATCCAGATTAATTAAAGTCATTAAACTAAATCATACTCCGTATAAGAAATCAGTTAAGTGAAAACATTTTACTCTACACTACAATATTGGCAGGTATAGTAGCAACCGACCATACCCACTTCTAGAGCAGCACATGTAGAGTGCATGAATCTTGTAAAATCATCATATAGTGGACCAATGTAACTTTATGAAGGGTCCATAGTACTCATAAAAGGAGAGTCTCCTCATAAAAGTATTCTCCTTCAATTTGTTTGGAAGTGAAGACTGAATATAATACAATGCTTAAGGACATATATTACATTATTGAATTGCCAAAACACTAATAAAATCCTACAATTCTACAAATATCGCACAAAGATGGTTAAGAACTACTACAAACTTTCGAAATTCCAATTTTTTCCACAAGAATTTCTCCAGTTTTATTCTTCTAGTGAAACTATACAACAAATTATCAGGAAATTAAAACCAAAAGAACAAACCTGCACATGATTCAAATCCATAAGAAAATCCATTATAGGAGATTAAAATGGATGATTATTATTAAGATGTGGTGATTAATTAACTGCCCGAACCCTTGGAGGGATCCTTGAAGTCGGAATCATGATTAGCAATCATTCTCTGAATCATTTCACTCGTTTGGGCTTGCGACATTCGGTCTTGTTTGGTTTGTGATTGATTATATGCCGTAAAGAAATCCGCATTCTCTTTCTCTAGCTCTTTCCACACTGCATGAAGACATGAATCAAGTGATATGTGTTGAACCTAAGTCATCGTTAATTTATACTCCAAACGTATACTACAACCCTCGATTAAAACCCCCAATTAAAGTTTGAGTTTGACCGTAACTATATGCAAATATGTACTTATATACTCCCTCCGTCCCCCTATTATTGGAACGGAAGGAAGTGATTGGGACAAAAGGAAGTGATGTTGTTTTTAAGAAATGTAGAATTATATGATTGATAAAGTGAGAATAAATTAAGAATGAATTAGAGTTACACAAATGTCACCAAATATGATTTGGAACAATAATGGAAGGACGTCTAAAAATGAAAAAAGTGGGACATTTATAAGGGGGAAGGAGAGAGTAATTTATTAATTAACAATTGAACAATTCATATTATAATGAAGTATATAAAATTAGATTTATGTAGTAAAGTATGTAGTATATATTGTTAATTATGAGTAATTGATGGTCGAAGTTTAAAAACTTTTACAAAGTCATATTTGTGGACTATAATTAATTAGTTTGACTTTTAAGAGTCAAAATACGTCATCACCAATCCAATTACTAAAGTGCACTAATAAAGTTCATAATAAAGCAAAACTTTTACTCCTTAATTCATTTTCTTACACCCACACCATAATATATCGGTCACAACTCACAAGGGGTGTCACATGCAAAGGTCTTGGGTTTCAATTATAGGTTACGATTTGAAATAGAACTCAACTTACACAATCAGATTAAGTCAACTTACATCCTCCCAGATTTCATGTAGAAATAGATATGATTTATAATTTTGAATAAATAGTGCAAGAATGAACTTGACATTTTCACTCTAAATAGTCTAAAATTAAATGGGTACGGATAAATTATTGCGGATCACAATCATAAACTATGTACTATGCATGGAGTACACAAGAGCAACCTCTAGTACGTTCTAAGTTTCTAACCATAGAAAGATGTTATCTGTTCGGACGTGATATGTTTGCGATTTTCTGGATTGAGTGGAATCAAAGGATTCAACTACACCGAGAAAGAGTAAAGTACGTTCCACCTTAATGAAAATATTTAATATTGTATCAGTTTTTTTGTTAGCATCAAATGACGAGTGGTAAATTCAAGCCAATGCATTTTTAAACTTATGAAACATGGAAATTCTATTTGTGGATTTGTTGAATGTTTTAATTACATTTAAGGAATTAATTCACAAGACTATATGAGTATATTGTTAATATGTAACACATGTCAGGTTGTTAGCTAGGTAACTTCAAAAGTATGAATGCCTGTTTTTTAATAAAAAATGAATTGCTCATCAGGTGCTTGTTAGTTGTGTTACACAAATCAATGACAAAAAGATTATGATAAACTTATAAATCATATCACAACTTTCGTATTTTATGTTCTCAAAATCATTAAGCCCGGGGTCGGTGACAATAATTCTGTAGACAAACTCGGACAACTAACCTTGGAGTATTGCTCTGTATAAAATTATGTCTTGGTTTTCAAAATATTAAAACCGGCCATCTTTAAAAAACTTATCATAGTTGCATTTTAGTCTTTTTATATCAGAACCGAAAGAACACCAATTTATTTTTATTTCACACTTTCTCGTTTCTTAACTCGTATTTTCAGTACGACTACGACTTGAGATTTTTGCTTACAATACAACTTGGAGTCTTGGAATAGCATTTGTTATACATCTTTCGATTTCATAATAAATAAAAATTAATAACAGGTGAAACTCCGGTACTCATTTAAAAAATGGGATATCATATCTACCATGCATTTGATTGGTCCACGTCATTATATCTTTTTTAATTTAGATTTAAATAATTCAACTCGATCATCCTGATTGATCCATGCATGTGTATAGATGTATGATACCTTAAGGGTATCATAGAATCTACCTTAATACTCCATAATAGGCGACCTTAATAATAGGCAATATATAATACGGAGTAATAATACTCTGTAGATTGATTGGGAAAACACAAGCCGGGGCTTATGAGGCCCTCACTGGATCCACCATAATAGTCCCCGTCCCTTCTTTCTTGTCATATGTCTAGCTGTTGGTTCATTTGGACTAAATTTGTCTAATGCAAGTAATTAAGTACTCGTATTTGATAACTAAGTAGTACGGAGTAATATATACTCATTATAAATATACATAAGAGTTCGTTTCTTAATTCGTATTTTCAGTTTTATGAGTTAATCTTTGAATCTTAAATTTAATATTTGAAGTTATTTTTTCAACATTATTGACTAAAGTTAGAAACATTTTTATTTATTTTGATACATAATTTTTAATTTAATTTAATTAACAAATTCAATCAATTCAATTACTAGTTAGAAAATTCGTCAATTTCAGTAGATTTAATTGATGTATTCAATAATATAAAATAGGATGTAATTCATTTTCATTGTATCCACCTTTATACTCCCTGTGTCCCGTTAAGAGTTCCCAATTTGACTTACACACATGTTAAGGAAATAAACTTACAAAGGGGTAAATTTTACTGTTTTGACACATTTTCAACACTATTTGACACTGTTTTAATGTATATAATTTGTTATTTAAAGAAAGGGGAACTTATTTTTGGAATTACTAAAAAAGGAAAGAGAGAACTTTTTGTACTACTTTCGGTTTTTTTTAATCTTCACAGTTTGACTTCATACAAAATAAGGAAAGAAATTTGACTTTACTGTAGAGTACACTGTTGAGGCACTGTTCGACACCGTTTGGCACTGTAGAGACACTGTTTGGCACTGTTGAGACACTATTTGGCACTGTTTGGCACTATTTTGATGTAGATTTCTTTGCCAAAAAAGGAAATAAGGAATTGTGAAGTTTATTTTAGACCGTCCCAAAAAGGAAAGTGTGAAATTTATTAAAAACCGGAGGGAATATATTTTATTTATACAACCGAAGGAAATCCATCTTTATATACGATAGTGTAATTTTATACTCCGTATTAATTGCATCTTTCCGCTCTTCTTAGTAATTGTGTCCTACCGGTGGGCGTAGCTCAACTGGTAGCGAGGGAGTGCCACAAGGGTTAGGTCTCGGGTTCGAATCCCGGCAACTACGATGAGGGGTTACTATGCTGAAAAATGCATAGGGCCTCTGTAAGTACCGGGGACAGAGCCCCACTCTCTATCTGTCAGATTGTGATTATAGTCCAATTTACATTCTCCCATCGTGCCGCCCGGTCGGTGTTGGGGGCCCTTAGGGATGGGGTGTCATCCTTTTTTTTAGTAATTGTGTCCAGTCATGGCATCCCAATTTAGTGGAACACAGAGTGATAGGGTGTACTATTTATATGGTCGCAGAAGTCATTTTGGCGGCAGGGAGAATTGAGATTTCAAAGCTCCCCTTTGCAAGTTGAATTCGTACTTGGGACATTGGGACACATTTTCTGTTACTCCGTCCGTATTAAATTTATGCAAATGTACTCCGTATAACTTTTAAATGTCTTGGGTTATTATTGGGGAATGAATGATTCAATCATTCATTATGTTAACGTGCTCCACTGTTCCTTAGCATGTTGGCATGCGCCATATATACTCTCGTTTCTCGTTTGGGACACATTTTAGATTTTTTTTCTTAATAAAGACATTTCTACATGTTTAGAGTGTTAAAACGAGCTATAAGTGTCTTGGGTTATTAATTGTTTCTTCCACAACTTTCACCCACTTTAAGTCTTTAACCTGACATACTTACTAAAAAATCACATGAAAACCCCATATCTATTGCATTATTAAAAGGAGACAAGTTTTCTTGTTGGGGGTCAAAAACATAAAGAGCTAGGACAAAAGCGTGGAAGGGGTAAATGGAGTATATAAATGTGTTTTCCACATACTTCTCCTTGTGAGTGGGAATTTTAATGCGTATATACACACACATATACATACATGATACATACACATACACATATATGTGTGTGTGTGAGGGCAATAAATGTGACTAAATATTAGATATTACGGAGTACTTAGTAGTAAACATTTTGTCAAACAAAAAATCTAAAAAACCATGCAAAAACAGGCTCACCAGTTGCGGTTATGATGGGCTCTATTTTTGCATGCTTAGAGAGAGCTTCCATGCACTCTTCTTTGGTCATCTGAAATATCAAGCACTTCTCTATCAGGTGCTGCACCTGAACATAATAGGCATCACATGATTATGTAATCAGACAAACAAAATCATATCACTAAAAATAAAATTATCAAATTAATTATTGACTGAAAGTTAAATATATTTATACATATCAAACCAACACAAATACATATATGTTGATGAAATCCATTTCAAGTATTACCATATGTATGTAAGAAGCAGATGAATCCCCCATGTTGACTAACTTGAACTGGAAATTGTCACAAATATATAGTAGCTGAAGAAACAAATTTAATGATTATAAATTTAAAGGAATATATCTATATATGGAGAGAGCTTGCTAGCTAGCTAGACAAAGTTGTGAAAGATCATGATGAGCTGAGGAAAGGTCAGGAATAAAACTATATATATATATATACACCAAACTAAGGCTAGGGGAAGGCAAAAATAAATGGTGGAGTGGGGTCTTAAGTCCCATGTGGGAGATGAATGATAATTGGTGGAGAAGGGATTAGAGTAGATTTGTGAATGCCTATTTCTTTGGTCTCATTGGATTCTTGAGAGGCCGCAGCCTCCCCTGCACGTGATCAAAGGGTACACTACTCAATGTAGAAATAATTTAAAATGCACAATTTGTTTTAAAAGGTAGGTAGCTAAATCAAGGCACTCTATTATATTAAAGGATAATTAGTGAGTGATGGGAAAAGAAAGGCGTGAGAAGCTCAATAATTAGTACAAAAGGATCTCGGATGGAAGTCCTTCCAAGTTGGTAAAAATGGAGAAAATTCTCGAAATATGACTAAAAACATTTTGGAATTCCAAAACATGATTATTATGTTTTTATTCTCTATATTGGAGTAATTACTGTCATATTTGGAAAATAGAGTCATGTTTAAGGTCAGCTACTATCAATATATGACAATAATTACTCGTATTTAGTTAATAAAAACATGACAATCGTATTTCGAACACACAAACATTTATACTCCTATTTAAGAAATTTCTAGTTAAAAAATAATTGTTTTGTTTTTTTCTTCTTAAAATTAATTTTTAGTAGTGAAAGAACAAGTGAAGGTAACAAAAATGATCATTTAACTTGATCGGGCAACATAAATTGTCAATGAGTAAGATTTACCCATATTTAATTTGTACAAAATGTTGTTAGTACACACTTTTTGTACAAATATGATGTAAACTCTCTAATTGTTTGTCTACATACGCAACACAAAAGATGTTATACATTTAGCATTTAGCATTCTTCTTAATTTGGCTCTTAATTTGTACACTAGCTTAGCTAGATTGACTAGATTCCAGGGAGACCTTAAGAAATGAACGGTGCGGTAGATTCAACGATCATCACTCAATCCAAATTGGACTTAACACTGCAGTGTGGTGGATAAATGTGCACCAAACCACTGATGATTGAGCATATGCCAACAAACTACCAAGCAATGAATACTGTTGTACCAGGTTCTAAATTTCAAATCAATATACTCCGTGTTAAATAATCGTAGGATTTAACATATCGTAGCTAGATTTTTGTAACAAAAACCTGTTAGAGATTTGGTCATTTAGAAGTGTCTATATTGTGGCCGGATTTTATAACAGAATCAGACAAATCTACTAAAAAAAGATATTACTAGGATGTTCTTAATTGTGGCCATTCGTATTTAGAATGTTCTTCATTGGACTGAAACTTACTTTCTCGTCTGATTATCTGGGAAATATCTAGTCTCCATGAATTTTATGATTATCCAAGTCTAGTCTAGTCTGATTTAATGTGATCTGTTGTGGTCTGATCTGGTTTGGTTTAAGATTGAAAATAGTCGAGTCGAAGTAAAAACATTATTGTTAATAGTGCACTCTTTATCTCTAAATAATTCTCATGTATATGTACTTATACTACGCCAAGTACCTTGTGGTCTGGTAGAATCATTGTCGATCTCCCAAAGAGGAGCTTGCAGGTTCATGTCTGATCCCAATCAAGGATGTTGGTACTAACAAGAGTAGATACTATAATAGGTTTAGAAGAATGTTCCAAAAAAAATGTACTTATATTACTTGAAGGATCAAAACTAGCTACTTTTTATTTCTTCATTTATATAATATCGTAATATCATTTGGTCATAACTCTATTTGGTTTTGTGATTCAGTAAAACTTTTACCATGTGGTTTATTGGAAGAATTTGCCATGATTTTTAAAATTTATAAGTTGTAATTACAAATTTTGTCACCAATCAAAAGGTTCAAACTGTATTGAATATTCAAGAAGTCATATACGGCAAGTACTTTTACACAGTGAGACTTTGGAGAATCACATAATTTCGAAAAGCAGTGTATTTTAGTATACAATCCTCATGATACTTTACTCCCATAGAATCGGAATTCCCATGCTTTCGGGAAAAATGATGCACCCACCACAAGGTAAATGTTCTTGGACCATTTTCCTTAATAGGCCTAGTGCATGCATGCTTTATGTCAATATATTTATTAAAGGGAATTATTGTTCCAATTGTCCTTTTTTGTTCAAAAGGCTGGTTAGCATTATTGTCTTTATAAAATTATCCTGATTATTCTAAAGTAAAAACAACCGATAAAAATAATAATAATAATAATAATAATAATAATAATAATAATAGTATTTCATTTAAAATGTTACTGACCAGCTTATGTTTAAAATAAATCCCTAAATGTACAAACATAATTGTGTTGTATATCTTCGCGAAGTAGGACTAGAGTATACTTTGGGAGTGTTTGCAATTGCTTCAACTTTAAAAAAGTGATTTTTTAAAGTGATTTTGGGAAAAGTGATTAATAATAAAGGTTGGTAGTGTTTGAGAAAAAAGTGATTCTGGAAAAGTAAAAGTTGGTAGTGTTTGGTAAAATAAGTACTTTTTGTGTAATAGAAAAAGTGAGAAGCAGTTTAAAGCACCCTTCTACCTGCTTCCAGCTTTTTGTTAGAAAATGATATTAAAAATGCGAGTTTAACCAGATAAAAATCCCGAGTTTAAACAAATCACCAGACAAACCACCAAATGCAAGAACAGAAAATAACAACAATAATAGTAATAGTTAGAATAAATAAAAATGAATAAATAGAAAAGATAAGAAAACTTATCGCAGGATCGCCCGTTAAAACGGACTGGCCTTGAAGAAAGATAGCCCCCGTATCCCGATAGCTATTCGGACGGGTCTGGCTAGCTCGCTCCCAGGATAATCCTACTCCGTTTCAGACTTGTAGCTACCTTGACTGAAACCTTCGACCGTTGCCCGAAATGCCTTGGAAGAGATGAGCTTGACAAAATGGAGTAAACTATCCGAATAGAACTTCGGTTTTTGACAAGAAACAGTAAACACTCCAAGAAACAAACGAGAAGAGAAAAGAAAGGAGTTAATCAGTGCTCCTCTTCTTTTACAAATTCGTTTTTGGAAGAAAAAGAAATCGAGAAGTGAGTGCTTTCTTTCCCTTGTGCTTTGCACGTCTCTCATCTATGGGAGATTGAGTAGCATAATATATACTTCGTATTATGCATGGAAATCAAATTCACAACATATTTATTTGAATGGAAGTAAGTAACGGTTATTCCTTAATATCATTTTAATGATCCTTGAATAATCATTAACCAGGCTTATTAGCTATCCACTTAGACCATTCAAATTCAAGTATTTGAAACGTTCCAAATTAGTTTAATAGCCACCGTTTCATTATCTATTAAGATAATAAAGCATTTCAAAATTGTTGTCCATAAATTAAATGGCCTTTAGCTTGAGACATTTTCTCATACACTTTTAGATCATCCCGAGCGGGCCTGAGCGTACGGAATAATATTTCAAGCTATCTTATGTGATACTTGAATGATTTTTCTTATCACATAATTTGTTATTAATAGACCATCTATCTATTTACATAAGACAGCAATTCACTATTTCAAAATTTCACTTTACAACTTTTACAACTATGGATTCCAATCAATGAATGAAATAAATCCAAGTATAAAAGTCGTACTTTGATAATAAGTCACTCCCATTACATAAAAATATGTTACACATATATCTCAGGGCCCAAAAATGAGACCACTAACAATTAATATTTTTATTATTATTATCATATTTCCAACAATCCCCCACAAATCCATAGTTGTAGACTCAACTCTAAGACAAAGTGTGCTTTCAAATATGGTACCTTCCGGTTTGAACCAAATTCTAAGCACTTACCCCTTACCCCCACAGGAACTGAGTGAACAGAGTTCTTGAACTCGAACCTTGGTTGTGTTGGCGTGGGATAAAAGCAACACACTAACGGCAATGGCAACGATCTATAGGGGTGACGCATTACGGCCGTGCGTCCGATCCTGTCTCAAGAATGTCATCGAGAATAAACCCACATTCTCTTATTGCGGCCACACAATAACATTCTCATAGTTGGGCATCTCCAAGAGTGCATTGCTAACACTCTGCTATTAAAGCTCGATCCCATTCAGAGTCTTAAACTCTTACTAACTTAGCAATTTCAACATCTTGAAGGCTTTCAAGGAATAGAACTCATTAAAAAATTTATTTTCATGAGATGCACAATTCACTCTACGGTTTGTTTATACCACATTGAACCTACTTTATGGGATCTCCACTCAGTTAGGTTGGGTTGCTACCGTAGATGAATAATTATTGGGTTTCAGCCCCATTCCTAACCTTGATTTTATCACTTGATTTAAATCAAGTCCTTTTGTTAAAGGGTCCGCTGTATTATCTTTGGATCCAACAAAATCAACAGCAAATACCCCTTGAGACACAAATTTCCTTATAGTTTTTAATCTAACTTGAATGTGTCTCCTAGTCTTTTGATTATACTTGGTACTCCTAATTTTTGCAATTGTACTCATACTATCACAATGCAAACAAATAGGTGGAATTGGCTTGCTGAATATAGGTAACTCGGACATAAGTCCCTTAAACCATTCAGCCATAATCCCTGTAGTATCCAACGCACATAATTCGGCCTCAAAAGTAGACCGAGAAAGTACAGTTTGTTTAGTGGACTTCCAAGCAACAGCCCCACCACCAAACGTAAAAACATAGCCGGTACACCCATAACTCCCGGAGTTCTTAGATATCCAGCTTGCATCACTATATCCTTCAAGAACAGGAGGATATTTACCATAATGCAAACCCAATGAAATAGTTCCTTTCAAGTATCTAAATACTCTATCTAAGGCCTCCCAATGAGTTCTATTTGGACAGCAAGTGTACCGACTAAGTTTAGACACTGAAAATGCAATATCAGGTCTAGTGCAGTTAGCTAAGTAACCCAAGCTACCAATCATCTGAGAATATTTTAATTGAGACACAGGAACACCACTTTCATTTTTATACAAAGCTACAGAAGGATCATAGGGCGTTTTAGCAATTCTACTATTTTTAAATCCAAACTTCTCAATTAATTTTTCAATATAATGAGACTGAGAAACAGAAATGCCCTCGGTTGATCTAGTCAACTTT